ACAACACAAACAGGATAGGGGACAGGACGCAGCCTTGGCGGAAACCAGTGCGAATGCTGAATGGTTTCGACTTAACGCCATTTGCTCTGACACTGCCCTGCTATCAAAATACAGTGAATGAGTGGCCCTTAGCAGCTGGACATCTATCCCGTATGTTCGAAAGCATGACCACCGAATGTTCGCGCGATCCGGTCATAGGCTGCTTCTTCGTCAACGAAGCACATGTAAGCCGGATGGACGAACTCCCACGATCTCTCAACAATCTGGCGCAGGGCAAATATATGGTCAGAGATGTTTCGACCGGGCCGGAAGCCACAGTGCTCTTCTAGTATCTCGAGGTCAGTTTTTTTGCGGCGCCTGGTCTCAATTACCTTAGCGTTAACTTTCCATGGGAGGATCGATAAGTTAATGCCATTAAAATTGGAGCACTCCGCGTAGTCTTCCTTCTTGACTAGGAATATAACAACCGTCGTTTTCCAGTCCGCTGGTATGTTTCAAGTAGCCATTACAGTTTGACAAACACCTGTGAGTCAGCATGTGCATTGTTCAGGGTTAAGGACTTCCTCAAATGTTATCTCATTCGTCGAAGAATGTCGTCATCCTCAGTAAGAAAATATCCAGACCTGTTGTTGAAGACTGTTAGGCAGTCCTTCTTTTTCACCTTGGAGCCGGCAAATGGTCCGCCAGAATACCCTGTTTGCCGGGTGGAAAGTCGACTCCAACACCTCGATGAGCTTTTCTCAGGAATCAGCTTTGGATTTCGTCACTGCATTTGCTTCTGCCTTGCGCGCTTTGACAAGTGGCAGCCTCGAGTATGCCGCTCTTAAAGAGCTGCCACTCGGTTTTCACGTCGGTGGTCATCGCTGGGACCTGTTTAAACTATCGTGCGGTGTTGTTTGCAAATTTTGCTCTTGTGCCCACCGAAGATAATGTTTTCCATTTAATTCTCCGGTTGGTTCTGCCACCGGATCTTCCTATTGTACTCCATTTCTTACAGCGCAGCGTGCCAG